TGGCACCGTGGGGCTTGGGCGTGGAACTAGGGGAAGGCTTTTGTCTGAGGTGTGGAAGGGAAACATGGGCGAAGCTCACGCCTGTTAGAAGCAGCTAAGGAGCAATTCTTATTCCTAATGTGTTTTCTTCTCCCTAGATTCTCCAGGGCAGCTCTGTGGATCGGGACCACCTCCTTCATGATTCTGGTTCTTCCTGTCGTCTTTGAAACTGAAAAACTGCAGATGGAGCAACAGCAGCAGCTGCAGCAACGACAGGTGAGGTGGGAGCATCCCAGCCCTCTCTCCAGGCCCTTCACAGTTGGCTTGGGGTGCCTGCACCTCCTCTCCGTTGCCAGCTGCCAGAGGAGCTTAAGGAACCGAGCAGAGTTTGTTGTAAAAAAAAACTGCCAGACGCTCTGGTTAGATGTTCCAGTGGGACAATTTTGCTGATTCCCATTGGTGGCAAACTCCCCAAAGACAATCTGGGTTTCGCTGGGCTGCAGTGGGGACTGTGTGCAGGCCTAGTGCAGCAACACCCAAACCTGCCCCGTTGGCATTTAGTGTGGTCGAGCTTTAAACTTGGTTGCTGTAGCAGGGGAGGAACCGATACCGCTAAACACTACTGCCTTCAGTGCCCTGCCGAATGGCTGTGGGAGGGGAGGGCAGCATGCAGCAGCCGTCCTTTGTCCTCACAGCCCCTCAACTGAGTGTGTTTCCCTTCCAGATCCTCCTTGGACCCAACACAGGGCTGTCAGGGGGAATGCCAGGAGCCCTGCCTCCACTCTCTGGAAAAATCTAAGTTGCGGAAGCTGCGTTGGATTCGTATCCTGTGGGAAGATCTTGAGGTTATGATATACGAACTGTTGATTTGTTGGGTCAGGGCATTTTTTTTTTTACCCCGTTTGTTTTTATTTTTAGTTCTCCCTTGGGACATTGACCTGTTCATAACACGGAGGGGAAAGCCCCCTCTCTGGACCTGATCTTATGCCTCCATCCACCCCCTTAAAAGTTACGAGTCTTTCCCTTTTATTCAGTCAGTTACGGACTTGAACCAGGGGGAAGTTCCTCTTCCAGCCTCCTTGCCCCCAACAAAACCACACCGGGGCACAGGTCGTGCTTCAAAAGGCAGCAGTCAAACAAAACCAATCCTTTTCTGGCTGACTTAGAGCCAAAGGACACTGGTGACAGGAGGAGGAGTGACTTTCCCAGCAGGCAGAGCAAAGGAAGGGGTGCGGCTAGTTGTACCCCACAGAAAACACTCTGGGAAGACGCCTTTGCGAAAATACTTTCATTGCGACTTGGTGTGTGCGTGTGTGTGCGCGAGCAGCAGGCCAGGTTCAAGACGATCACGTCCACGCTGATCCTCTGCCTCATAAAGTAGAACTTCAAATATCGGCTGCGTATTTTTTTGTATTGAGTATTAAATAAATCCAACCTGAGCAGTGTGGGTTTAATAGACATCCTTTAAAGAGACTCAGTTCTTTCAGAGCTGTCAGTGGCTTTGTGGCAAGAGGCCCTTCTGTATTTCTTACGTGGCAGCGGGGAAAGGGATAGACGCCGCTGACCGAGAAATCTTTGTGTTGCCAAAGGGAACGCGCAGAGGGGTGATTCCCAGGCACCAGTGACAGACTTAGCTCATAGAAAGGTCATGGTTTTATAACCAAAGAAAACAAAAATTTATTTTTCCTTTACATACTTCATTACAGAACAATTCAGTTGAACATACAGAAGTGATAGGACATTTATATGGAAATGTTTCTTTTCCATTTTTAATATTTGGTTAAACAAAATACATCTCTGTAAACAAACCCAAGAGGCTCTAACAAAACCAAACAAGCAAAGAAAACAAACATGGGCTTTCCCATTCCCAAGTGGTGGGACTGGACCAGCTCTTGCCCGCCCTCTGGGGCGCAGCAGCCTCACCTCCCACTGGGGCGTGATCAGGCGTGTTCCCTTTACCTGAGCAGCTGGATCACACCGTTACCTCTCCCTGTGGGAAAGGAGCTGACATACAAGGAGAGGAAAGCAGCCCTAAAATATTTTAAAACATCTTTGCATATTGTGCACTGATCCGTTGGCTTGCAGTTTCCATGCAAAAAGGGTTTCTCCAAAGTGCGACTTTAATTAGCATAGAAAATGTTGCTGTTGAGATTTATTTTCTCTTTTCCCCTCCTCTTGAAGAAATGGCTTCAAGTCACGAGCAGGATGCCTGCAGGCTGCGCATCCTGCCTGTAAAGTGTTTAAAAACTCTGCCAGCTGGTATTGGTCATTGGAATGTGTTACGAAACAAGACTTTTTATAGAAACATCAGGTCTTTAAAACCTAAGAGCCATTTGCCCTTGACTGCGGGAGGCTGTGCTCAGAGGACTACAAACTGGTGCTTGCTGGGGTGTCCAGGGGGGTTGGTGAAAAGCATTGTCACATGGCCTCTGTTCCCTATTAGGAAGGTGCAATTTTGGTGGTCTCTCAGCTTCAAGCACTTGCTTGTGCATTTGCAGAGCTGGAGAGAAAAAATTGACTGAGAAAAGGTCATTGGAACATTTGCAAGCTCAAACACCAGTAATGAGACTTCCCTGCACGATGAAGTGGGATCCTTCAAGCTCCGTCTGTCCCAGAGATTGCTGTCGAACCACGCGTAAAGGAGGGAAGCAAACAGCAGGTCCAGCCAGGAAGTGCTAAAGGCAGCGAAATCTGTTCCAAATTCCGCATTTCCTCCTCCTGCCATGGAAGGCATGACTGAACTGCAGCTCGCCCAGGCAACCGGGAAACAGCCAGCAGAGATTCCTCTTAGCGTCTCCATGTCTAGTTGTTCTTCCCCACGGGAGGAAGGAGAAGGGGAAAAATGATTCGTCTGTTAACGGAACGTTTGTCAGCCAACACTAAACAAAAGGTTGGTTCAGCCATCAGGATAGGGTCTCTCTAACACCCAAGGATTCTGGTGGACTCTCTGCGTCTCCCATATTATCAGCTAGTAACTAAAAGAGGCAAAACCTGACTATTATAAAAGGCCTCCCCTCTGAGCCCATTTTTTTCTTTGTAACTTTGCCTCTTTCTGGGACATTTCACGTATTTGTGACCTGTGGGCTAGACTTCTGGAAAGAGGAAAATAAAAGGAAATTAATTCCTCTCAAAACCCCTTCAGTTTTATTCCACTCTCCAAGCAGCCCCTAAACTACTGGGTGACCATGCAGAAAGCCAAAATAGGTGTTAAAAACAAACAACAACAACAAAACTCCTCAAAACCAGCATAGCACAAAGAAACCCAAGCAAACTATGGCCTGTCTCCAGCTCAGAAACTCGATACTCCTCAGTTAGCCTGTGCTTGCTGTTTTCACGTCACCTTAGCCAGCCACGTGCTCCTGAACAACCACTCACCACACACAGAAATCCCTGGAGACACTGGGGAAGAATCCTCCAAGCTACCCGAAAAATTTTTTGAAAGATGACACTAGTTTTATTATTGTTTTCTAATTCCTGGCACAAACCATCCTTAAGAAGCAGAGGGTCGTGCTGAGCACCGTACCATTGCTAGTGTTTGAGAGTGTCCTGAGAGACCCCTGGGAACTGTAAATGTCTTCGCAATGATTCGTTTATGGGGGAAAGAGACTTGGGAAGAGGCAGCAGCGTGCTCGGCCCCTGCTCCTCCTCAGCAAGCCCGGGAGGGAGCAGCCTCCTGCCACACATGGCCCTCAGCCCTGTGGCCAGAGGCTTCCAGACGCCCTAGGCCCAAAGGCCGGTTTTGAAGAGCATAATGCCTTCGAGCTAGCCCAAGGGCACGCGGCTCATCCGCCTCTGCGATTAAAGTGATTGGCTTCCAGTTTCCTCCACTCTGCCCTCGATTTCTTCCCCATGCACCAGCCCCAATGTCCTATGCCATTGCCCTATTGCACCAAGGAAGGAAGAGAAGAGCCTAACACAAGGAAATTCCAGACGAGAAGAGTCGGGGCACCCATTATCCAGGTTTCAGGACATCGGGAGTTCAGTACAAGGGAAGAGCTGTAGTGGAAGGACAGAGTCGGTCCAGGTCACACGTCAGCTCTCCAGCTCTGATGTGCTTCCACCTCCTCTGGCACCACCAGCAGGAGTTCACAGTTCTTTCCTCTCAGCTGGTGTTTCAAAAATTTCCTATCATAAAGAGAAACACAAATAAGTGCAGCTGAATGTAGAACTTTGTCGACTTCAACAATGAAATGCAAATATGACAAGAAACAGAAGGAAACCACCACACGTTGTCTTCAGTTATCTTCTGACAAAAAAAACCCAAACAAATATTAAATTTGCCCCACACACCTCAACAAAGAAAATTATCACAGAATCAGACACGATCTTAACTTCAGCAGAGATAAGTCCATAGAGATGTCACTTTCCAATTTTCCAAGGTGGCGAAAATAGAATTAAAACCAAGTTCAGTTTCCTTAGATCTCCAAGACCAAGAATGCCACTGCATTTTAAAATACTTTCAACAAATCTGGAATACTAGTGGGAAAAAACAAACCCCATCATTTAGATGTCCTTACCGCAGGCTGTAGCAGCAGCAGCGTACCACCTGGTCATCTGACATCGTTCTGCAGCCCCTTTCTGCCTGCAAGCGTTTTCTAACACCAAACTTAAGATTATCTCCAATAACTACAGAAGTCAAATCAATGTTTTACTATTATCTCTTCACCCAGATTTCCAAAATTCCTTATACAGGAAGCCTGTATTCACCTCTGAACAACAGCACACCCAGGATAAAATCCACTAGAAGCTCTGCACAGCAGTTCCACTACTGTGGTACTTTATCCCAGAACGTCACAAAAGGCTGACGTTCATTTTACTGAGACTTTAGTGGCACGGTGGGCTCTGCAAGTATTGCTTGTGTGCATTCCCTTCCTCAGAACTAGTCAAGGCAGCAAAGCTGCCCATAGGCTTTAGAACAGGATGGAAGCTAAACAGCAACTAAGAGCAGGAGAGACTTCACAGTCAAAGTAATGACATCAATTGTCTTGTGTTAAGATTAAAGAGGGGAGGAGTCAGGTCACAAGTCCAGCGTATGCTTACACAGGCAAGTGATTCCTAACAAGCAGCCTTCCCTGCTCTCAGGGATATGGGTGCACTTTTAGTCAGGAAAACCTTTTGTTGGGAACATACACACAGGTGTACTAAAGAGGGAAAGGAATGCCACTACTTTCACATCTGAGGAGAGTGCAAGGCACAGCACATCTCCTTACAGGTGTCACTAATAGGAGACTTGACCCCTGCCTTCATCACTAGTGACAGAGCCAGCCACTTAACACATGAAGTCAGGCTCTCCTGAGCTTGCAGAGATCATCGCTGACAAAAGAATTTTCCCAGCTTCAAACAAACGGGGCACAAATCTAAGTGGAGGCATGAGAACCGTGTTACTCTCAAATCTTTGTTACTGGAGGTCAACCACAAATGTTTCAACTGCTGTTTAAGGACAGATTCCCCACCTCCAGCAGGGAAGGATGTGAGGAGGAACAGGATACAAAAATTCCTACCTGAGCTCACTTTCACCTCCAATCCACTCGGGCACCTTGAGTTTGGAGTCGAGGTTGTAGTACGTGCCTCCTACCTCCCGGACGCAGATCCAGTGCTGTCGCTTAAGGGGGAGCTTCAAGGGGCCCCAGCAAAGGCTGGAGGGCAAATTCATGATGAAGCCCATCACATTAGACAGAGCAATGACGTTAACATCCCTGAAGGAGTGCAGAAAACAAGAGAGTGCTAACATTATAGGCTAGTACTTTAACTTCATCTCTTACTCGTTTTCACAAACAGTAGCCATCTCCACAATTGCACAACTTCTCAGTACCTGCGCTTATCCCACCAAACCGCCTCATAGCCTTTGGTCTGGAGTGCTGCCATGATCACGTTCACATCATAGTTTCCGTTTCCCAGCATGCTCTTCTTGTGAGGTGTCACCATGGTGTTGGGAGACAGCCTGCACACAGAACAGGAGATTGCTCTAGTGGCTGTCTGCTGAAACAAACAGTTGGAAGGGGCTACTTGCTGTGTAACTTGAAGCCTGTTTTCAGGATTCTCGTGTTTAAACATAAGCTATTCTGTTCCCCTTATCACTCAAAAAGGGGCTGAGAGGGTTAAATAATGCATTAAAAATAAAACTTTGATGTACAAAGCCTCCAAAGACCCTAGGTTTTGTGACCGCAAAGCGGGAAGCTCTTTTTTCCACCATCTTGAACTGGTACTTCTAAAGGATGCTTCAATTATTTTCCCCTCAGTTCATGTTTGGAGTAAATGCCAGTTTGCCATTTAGAAAAATGGCTATTACAATTTTAAGAGTTCAACAGTCACTAACACCAGTCTTGAAGACTGGATGAAATAACAAGATTTGGCTGCAGAAAAGGTTGTTGTCCCCCATCTCCCCAGTAAATGAAAAAAGTATTCAGGTACAAAGCTGTGCAGATATTTGGTTTGGAAGTTTTCTAAAGCATTGTCATAGCTATATGATAAAAATATATCTGTTGTAGGTAACTAAACAGATAACCTTGCTGCAAACATCTCATCAGCTTTAATCTCACCTAGACATCACAGAGTCATTTAGGTTGGAAAAGACCTTTAAGATCATGAAGTTCAACCATCCACCTAGCAATGCCAGGTCCACCACTACAGCACCTAAAAATCCAGAATCACGGTCCATTCTGTTACATGCGAAACTGTAAGGCAGCCTTACAAAGGCAGATAATGGATGGAAAACATAAAACATGGAGACACGTGGCAAAAAAACCCCAAAACAGTTAGTCACTTCCATTGCTTCATTTTCCCCCTCCAAGAAATTCTGTAAGGAGGAGAAACAAGGAGGTGATGAATTACTATGAAGGTGACAGATGGGCTTCAACAGCTGGGAGCAAGCACAGGCAGCAAACTAGGAGCAGAGACCAGAAAGGTCACACAATGCCAAACTAAACAAGCCTGAAACCTGTTCTTTTGTGATGGGTTGCTCTTTTGATCAGTAAGGACACCATTTGCTCTGCTGGCACAAGGTTCAGATGTTTCATATAACACAAATATCCACATTCTGCCTGCCTCTCCCTCATATCAACTCCATCCCCCAAAACTCATGATGTTCCTGTACATATTTTGCTCGGCCATTAGCGGAGTGCAAGTTCTGCAGGCACATTGCCTCCAGTGAAAGCCTCTCAGCCCTTCTGCATTCCTCCCTTGACAACAGAAGGCATCTGACAAGACAAAGCAAGCAGTAGATTGAGGAGGTAGTTTCAGACCAACCAAGGCCAGAGACACTACACACTGGCAGCTTTTTATATTTCTCTTGCAGCAGAGCAGAACAGCCTAGGAAGCAACTTAACTACTGGGCATTTCTGAGCAAGGCAGTGACATTTTCACAGAATCTCAGTTTCTGGTCTCCAGAGATCTAACTGTAGCTTGATACAGCTCTTCCACCATCTCTATAAAGCAAGATCATTTTGCTACAACTAATTCCTCAAGATCACTGCTTCAATCTATTAACACTCAAGAATGCCAGCAAGTTAGGAAAGGCTTCCAGTTAACAGAGCCCTTTGGGTTGCAGAAGCACCCTCTTGTGGCACCGTTTTCCAGAGACAAGCTTATTTGAGGGCTGAAAGAACACATTCATCTTTGTTCCTTCCTGTAACTTTCAGACCCGCAGAAACGAGACAGAGACCAGCAGAGGTGACATGTTCAAAGAACTGGTACCTGTGAGCCAAGCTTCACCACGAATCTCCTCAGCGTCTCTACTCATACACCCCTAAATAGTGTCCACAGTCATCAGATGAAGAAGTCTCATCAGACAAGAAATTTAAGTTGCTTCCTCAAAGTTTATTTGTTTTTTTTTAATCTAGACCTTAAGGTGAGGAAGACTGACAAAGCTGGACAGAAATCCAGGTAATACTGCTCCTGAGCTCTCTGAGTCAGAAACTTTCATCAACGTGTTGTCTTAACACAATGGACCCCAGGATTTCTGTCTTTCCTAATCAGGTCTCAATACACAGACTCTGGTGAAACGGACAGATTTTGTTTGTATCTCCATGCAAGATTTGGAACATGCAGTCTTACTTCCTGCAACAAAAGCCAGAGGAACACCAGAAAGATGTTTCTTGTATTAGAGGAAAGAAGAGGGGAGCTTAGACCAGGCTTTGGCATGCACTTGAGATGATAATCATCAGACCACACTGGCCTTATGCAATGGGATGCAGCAAAAGGGAAACTAATGATTAAGCAATATGGTTCGATCATTCTTCAAGGGATATGGTAAGAGCTACAGAAAGCTTGAGCCTATTTGTAATTCTGTTACCTTGTCAACACTGTGTTTAAAAAAAATTATAACAAAAAAAAAAAATCACACTTAGCAAGATTTTTGTAGCTTATCAAAAATATTCATCAGCCCTTTATCAGAGTCATCAACACAGAGAATATGACCAGACACAGGAAAGACATAGAGAAAAGTGGTGTATAAAGTGCAAGTAAATCCATACTTGGTATATAAAGACAAGTCAAAGAGCTAGACCAAGTAGTAACCCAACAGAGGTGCAAAGCCAGTGGCAATTCCTAGGCATAGCTTACAGCTCATCAATTTCTGAGAGGTATTTCCACATATATTTCAATACTACCATGAGGCTGGATCCATCTCTGTGTCTTGATCCAAATATTAGAATGAAACAATACCAGGCTGGAATCAAAGACAAGTTCTTCCTTCCAGGGTGAGAGGTCCAAAAAGTTTATACCCCAGCTCCTTCTAAGAGGTTTCACGCTGTACACTAATTCTCTCTCACCAAACACAATGAAAGCCAACTAATTAGATCATCATACTCCTTCTACCACATGAACTGCCTTTGTTTGCCTCAGGCCAATAACAATCCATCTGTGATGACAATTCTGACAATTGCTGCTCTGGAACAAAACTACAGTGTCTTGACAGTGGACAAAAAGTGCCTTGAGCTTGCGTGGACCAGCTCCACATCGCCAACAGAAATTTTATTTACAATGTTCCAGCAAATAGTCTTTCAACCCAGTGTTTACTGTTGTCCACCACCACGTTTCCTTTGCAAAGACAGACACAGGTTTGATGAGTTGAGCACCAATTCCCTAAATGCCAATTTTCACGACAGCAGCAACAGGCGCACAGCTCCCTGTTCATCAGCACAGGGTGCTGTGACTGCCTCGTCCAACAGGACCTGCGTAACTGCTGTCACGAAGCCTGATTTGCTACCTGTCACAAACACAAGATGCCATCAACAGCTAGCAACTGGTATTCAAGGGTAACTTATGCAACAAGTATCAGAGAAGACTCCATTTCCTATTTGATTGCTTTGCTTCATCAATGAAAAGTCATCACAATTTTCAAAGGTATGCTCAGAATTTCCACAAAGTGTCAAAACAGCATAAAGTACACATTGCACAAAATATGAGCTATTCTACAAGCTGCACTAATAATTTACATTTACCCCAGTAAAACTGAAACATGCTTTCATTAATTATCTGAAGCTGCTGGGAAAATTCAACAATGGCACAGAAAATTACGATCTAGCTACTGAAGTGAAATCCACTTTGACAGAGTACATGGGGTCTTGCTGCATGGAAAAAAAACCCCCAAACCCCAAAACGCAACATCTGAAAAACTTGGCTGAACCACTTGAATAGAATCATTCGTATGGCAAAGATCCTAATCTCCAAACAACTTAAGTGTTCCAGCACTAAATCAGTAAGCTTTTATGATGACCCATCTGTCATTTCTGTCGCCTTCTCTCCCCCAAGGCAATCCCAAATTCTGTCATTAACATCATGATAATGTATGTACATGAGGCAAGGCCAAAAACATGGAAGAAGGAGAGACGACGCAGTAACGTGGGTGGGGGAGAAGATGCCAGTCCAACCACAGGCAGCATGTACAATAAAGCCCTTGGACCCAAAACTGGCAGCCAGAATAGTTTAAGAAACAAGTGAAGAGAATTTCTGCATGGAGAGAGGGGGGAAAAGAAAGGGGGTGGGTGATTTTAAAAGACAAGCTACATTTAATTCAAAGCAGGGGCATACTCTGGTCCCCTCTTTTGCTCTACTTTTTTCCCCCCAGCTAAGATCTGAAAATTCTTCTGAGCAAGAGAGGACAAGAGGAAGCTAATGCCAGTGCAGAGAGTATCCTACCTCTGAAAAATCTCCTGCAGGGTTTCCCTAGTGAAGGCGTTGCTGTCCTGGAAGACATTGTTGAGGGCATGGAGGGCACAGAGCTCCCTACGCTGCTTTTCATGGTAAATATGCAGTGGTGGTAGCTGGGGTGGCTCTGGTGATTCCGATTTGGTCTTGTCACCTTTCCATGGCACGCAACTCATTTTCGCGTAGGGTGGATGGAGAGTAGGCAGTGAGAAACGAAGGAGGCTGAAGTTTCTTCCTCCACAGTCACAGCGGCCCACTGCCCCCTTTTTTTTGCAGGCTAGCACTGCTTCCAGCTCACAAACCCTCCTCTTGTGCTTCAGTTTATTCAGTAATTGCCTCTGATGGCTGGTTTTAAAAACCACATAAAGGTCTGCAACATATTTTTCCTCCCTCCTCCCATACCCCATAAAATGTAATACTTCCCTCTCCCCTCCCCACCCCCCAAAAAAAGTCAAAAGATATGAATTCCCTTAAGTCTCAAGGTACCAGCTGGAATTTATCACATCGCTCCTTTTCTTCCTCCTTCGGTCGCTATTGCCACTAAAAACGTACCCGGAGGAGGTAACAAAGAGAGGCTCAACCCCAAAGTGCCAAAGTGGAGAAGACAAAGCCAGCTTCTGGGGCTGCTTCTGAGAACGCAGGGTGGTTAAGGACTTATCAGCTGCATTCCTCCATTCCTTTGGGAATGGCTGAATCCAGGCAAGAAGATGCCAACAGCTCGAGAAAGGAAACC